TAAAACACAAAAGCATAAAAAAAGAATGTACTGCGCAGCCTTAAATATCCCAGCATGCAGACGAGGCAACGTCAGCAAAAAAGAGTTGAGAGCGGAAGGTTAATATTGCGAAAGAATTGCATACAGAGACATTTTCAAGTTAAGACCAGTAGAGAAAGTTGTTAAGGATTGAAAAAACGTGTGTCGGTTTCGCAAGGAACTTTTTAATGCTACGCGTCACTTGTCCCGCGTTTTTATTACAATACAAATGAGAATGGACTGAATTCTTGTGCGAGATGAAACGAGTAAGTAATGCATGGATAATGAACGTCTGGTTTAAATTAATCGCTATGTACCAATCTACACAGATCTTACATTTCCTTTCGCATTAAAAATACAGCTCATTTATAATTATTTTCAAGCTATCAGATTTTAAAACCGCAATGATTAAAATTTCTCCGTTCTCTTTCTCGTTAGATTTGTTGCATGTTTTAGAAAATTATATAATTTAAATATTATAATAATATTGTATATTATTATATATTATATTATATTATTATTATATATATTATATATTATATTATATAATATTATATATTACATATTATATTATATAATATTATATATTATTATAATAAAATATAATATATAATAATATACAATATTATTATAATATTTAAATTATATAATTTTATTAATATTATTATTATATATATTATATATTATATTATATAATATTATATATTATATATTATATTATATAATATTATATATTATTATAATATAATAATATTATTATAATAATTATATAATTTAAGTTTTACTAATACAATTATACAATTATGAAATGTAAAACTAATGTGATATTTTCGTCGCGAACTTAATTCGATATTATACGACAAGGAAATAAAGCAACAAAAACATTCGTCAATTTTCAAAAGTTACGAGGAAGGATTTTCTCTATAAAACAGTATTCTGGTCGAGATATTTTCGACTGATTTGTAGATATTTGACGGTGAAACGAAAACTTTTACTATCGGCGTTCTGCGTTTTAACAAACACCGCACAGATTTCGCGGAGACGGAAAACCAAATATCGAGCTTGTCATAAGCGATCAATACATGAAAGGCGATGCGTGGAAAAATATATTCACACTGTCGCCATTATTTCGTCGGTTCTATTCATCTCAAACAAACAAAGAAAAATTATAAAAATACGACGACGATAGAAATACACTTCGACAAGCGACCATCGAGTTGTCGTCTTTAATTCGCAAGACGTTGAAACTCAAACGTTTCTGGTAAGAGATTGCCGTCGCTTTTAATCCGTTAAAATCCTCAATTAGTAATTAAAAGCATGGAACGATGCTTACCAGAATCTTCGAAAACGGTGGTTGCGTTGTAACAGAATAGCGAAACGATTCGACAAACTTTGAATCGATATAAACAACGATTTGAAATTCTTATTATACGTAGGCTCCTGGAAAAATGTGAAAGAGTTATCGAATAATTCCGCCGATCGTATTTCGAAGGATATGAAATCAGCTTTCTGAATTTGACCGTAATTCGCGAATTTTCGTGCAGAATTCAATTTTTATTAGAAGTAGTAAAATTTTATTTTACGCGCCAATAACTTCGGCGGGTAAAAATTGATGCTTCGATATAATAAAATGGCGAAGTTATTGTCTTGTTTCGTTCGAAAAGTGTCTACAAGTTCTGGCTGCAGAAGAATCCGCAGTCTACTTATCATTAATTTCGGAGGCTAAACATCTAGTGAATCGCGCTATAAACAGAATTTCCAATTCAACGGAATTCATTCGAGGATTGCGGTGCTCGAAACGTTACGCACGTTGTTAAATATTGATTTAGTTCCGATTTACCTCGTATAACGTCATCATCTAAGACATTGGTCTTCGATTATCCAACTTGTCGTCGCTGTTACAACCATTTTTATCGGAATTTTCGATATCGTGAGAACGAAGACACCGAGTTCTCGACTCTGGCGCAGTTATTTCGCGTATCAATTAAATAACAAAGATAATTAGGTAATCATTCATAAGCCGACTGTGCTCATTTGCACTGCCCACGATTTGCCTGAATCCTTAAATAGAGATATAATGAATTCCACTTGTGGAGGAATAAAGAATTCGGAATAATAAAGGACAAAGGGGGGATATTGAATCGTGGAGTGCTTTTTAGCTTTAATGAGCGGAATTATAATTTTCACTCGCATTTTGAATCCTCGATTATTTTCCGGGCAGTTTCCTTGACATCTATTCTTGCGAAATGAGTTTAACTTTGAGTTTGAGCGAACGACTATCTATTGTCTGGTTATTGGCTTTCAGCTAGATTCGACAGTAAAATAAGATTGGACTAAATAACGAAACTGTGTCCAACGAGAAAAAGGTTTTCTCCGGGTAGCGAGTGATTTTTCTCTGTTCACTTCATCCTCCTTGTGGTTCTTAACTCGGGCGAAGTTCAATCTTGCATCGGGACTAATGGTAGCAAAGTAATGGCGCGCTAAACCAACATTGATGAACTTGCTGTACGACGTACATAATGGTGAATTTATGGGAACTGATAGGCCATAAAGTCATCGATCTGTGTTTAGGATTTTTCCGCGAACGGTATGGTAAACGGGCCTGCGGTAGAAGCGTAACAACTTTTAATTACACGTGAAAACGTCTACAAATTGCGTTCGCACTCCTCTGTTTGAGAAACATTAAACGTCCTAGCACTTAACTTTCAGGGACTTTAAGGGAAAATTTCAATTAAGAGCAAGCAAACAAGATAACGAAAAATGTCTTTAACAAGCCCGCGTAATTAAATATAATTACGTTCATTTGTTAAAAGTTGAACATTTTATGGAAACTGTTTACGAAAGTGTCATCTCTGTATCAAAATAAAGTTTAAAACAATTCCCATGAAAATGAAGTCCTGAATTATTAAACAACTGTGTATTTTAGCTGTTACAATGTTTACGAAAGTGCCATCTCTGTATCAAAATAAAGTTTAAAACAATTTCCATGAAAACATAGTCCTGAATTATTATTAAACAACTGTGTATTTTAGCTGTTACAATGTTTATCTAAACCGTTAACGTTTAATCTTTTTTTAAAAATAGAAAAGGCGTTCGTTTAAAGAGTGCGTTAATTAAATTATAAATAAATGATTAGCTATTATATCGTGGAGCAAATTTTCCCACGTTTTGAACTTGTAACTTCGACTACTTGTTTCGTATAATTTTTGTTATAGAACTTATGGTTCGACCAAAAAATCGAGTTGGAACGAACGCACGTTTCTCGAACGAAATGAAGTATTATCGTTTGATGTTACGTTACACAGAATGAAAAAATACCGTTTAAATCGAGCGAACACTTGCAGACATTTTTCAATTTCTTTCTGCAAGTAAAAATTCAGAAGAAAATCGAGTTACATCGGTGCTATACAGCAAACTTTCGGGCTACGTGGCATCGACAGAAGTTACAAATCACATTTTATTTCCAATACAGAAACGAAATAGTTTGGCAAAACGATTGGCACTGCCAGTGGTAGTCCGTGTTCCATGCTTTTTCATACTAAAAAACACGAAAACGACGGCTCCAACAGCATTGAGTAGGTACCACTGCCGCAGTTTTGTGAAACTGTTCTGTACCTGTATTGGAAACTGTGCTTCCAATTAGATTTTCTCCTACATTTTTAGTTTTCGAAATGAAAATACCATTGCGTTAATAATGGAATACAACATCTTGTTTCGGGAAAATTGTTTTCACAGTGTAATATTTTTCAAGTCGAATATCCGGATTTTTCATCGAAATCGATATTTAAATATTAAATTGGGAAAATATGAATTTACAATGTTTAATCTGAGCTTCGCAAGCAATATTTGCAAGCAAATCAATAACAAGTGGGAAGGTAATTTGAAAATCGCGACAGTAAAATTAGGAAATGATTCTCAATGACGAATACAGCGTTCAGGATAGAGAACATAGAAAATATTTATAATAATATATAAATATTTATAATATATATAAACGTTGCTAAATCGTTTCTTTCAATAGAAAACATTAATTGGTTAAAAATTTAGTCACTAGACTTACCATCATATTGATAGTATACAGTTATTCACAAAGTTGAGCAATTTGAAACGCAATAACTTTTTTAAAAACTGGACCGAGTGATTTGAATATTTTTTAGAGATTTTTCCAGCTTTTGATCAAAAACTGGAAAAAGTTCGCAGTTTTTTAAATCTTTCAACGCCTGTAGCTCGACTCTGGGTTAATTGATTTCGATCAAATTTTCAGCACGCGTATAAGTTACAAAGATCTACGAAAGGTATTTTTTAAATTTTTGTTATGGGCTCAGATAAAACAATTGAAAAACGAGAGCCTTTTCTTTTTTTTGTCATCCCAAATAATAGCAAAATTTAGAAAATCGACTAGTCCTTTCATCTAAAAAAAAGTTCAAGTCACTTGGTCCAGTTTTAAACAATTTATTACATTTTAAAAGATATACGCTCAATTATGCGAATAGTACATATATTCATGGTCGCCTATGTGGGCAATCTCCAAAAACGTCACGCGAAGATTTAACCACAGGAGTCAGTCGACGACACGTCAACGTCAGTGACAAATGATGTAGAAAATAATAACCATAGAATTTTCCTCACCGATAACCGTTATGAACAACCAGAATAATTTGCTCCCATAAAAAATGATTACGAGTGATCTAAATAGAATTTCCGATTTTCGACAATGATCACTGTCAACAAACAAAAATAATTACTATTTCCAACCAAAAGAACTGAAATCTTCTGATTATATATGGTTTCGCGAACAATTTTGTTCCCTTGTTTCAAGATCAATAGGCTCAACATATCAAATAAATAGGTTTCCGTGACCGTTGTATTTTTCGTCGAAACATTTCAAATGCATTAACCACGGGAAAAGATTGAAACCTTTCCGTACAATCGGATCCAATCTCCAGATCGTTTGTCTAACGCGCGGAACCGTTATTTTTCAGGGATTGATCGTCCGCCGACAACCCGTAGGCCCAGCACAAGGCGGGACTCGAAGAAAGCCTGGAAGATCGATCACGGTCATGAAAGGAAGACAGCCGGCATGAAGGACGAACCGATGCTGAAAGGCCTCGACGACGATGACGAGCAGATTGATTTTCAATCGGCGAGAGCCTCGTCGCTATTCCACCGACACTTATTCGCGAACCTCGGCATCACCGCCATCACGGCGATCCTAGCCGGTCTGTCGACGTAGGAGGCGCAGCTCTGTGATGACAATTACCCTAGAAACTGTTTGATCCGCGTCCCGTCGAGGTCGCCGGGCTTGACACGGCTCGGGCACGAGTTCCATCCGCGCTTTGAACACGTCGGAATCCTCGGGCAACAACGGGCCAAAGACTAATCTTTTGAGGCATCGAGGACCAGAAAGTTTCTTCCTGGGTACACCGAACTAGCGGCTAACAACTGCCGGGCGCATGAAGAAATCAGCGGTTCTCTGGTGTTTCGTGGGATCGAGAGCATCGTATGGCCCTCCAGTGTAACGCGAACCAGCGAGACGTGCATCTTCCGTTGCAACAGAGCTCCGTTTGCGTGCAGCTTTTCGGGAGGTATTCCATCGAGAGGTACATTCACTCGGAGGAAACGCATTCTTAACCCTTCCATGGTTTTTCGGGTCTATATGAACTCTAGTTCGTGTACTAGACTTATGCATTACGCGAAGAAACTGGAATTTTTCGTTCGATCGCGATTTCTGCCGTGCAAAAAGCTGTCGAATGAACGATCTGTCTCAGTTTTGTTTCATTTCCGACGAAATTTCGTTAATAACAGCGTTAGCTTTAATATGAGGTCGTTTAACCGGTAGAAGTTTTCAAATAATCGTGTAATTAACCCTTTACAATTGTTATTTTCGGTGTAGACATAGTCTCCATTGGTTCAGAAAGCATAATTTTCAAGACAAATTTATACTGAACGGTTCCTGTTGTTCAAACCCAAATTGCTGAAACAAAGTTCATCCGAAGGTCATAGTCGTCGAATGCATTTTTTCGTCAGCGATAACTCAGCAAAGTCAAAAATACATGGTGTCATTTGAAACAGTCAAGGTGACCTTGACTTTTAGTAGAAAAACAATAGTTTCTGAAATTTGTTATTTTTCGATATGTAGCCGACTAAAAGCTAATTAATTTTTATTCGAAATATTTTTTCGTTAACAATGAAACCTCGAGTAACCGAGCTGAGCAGTGCCACGTGGACGTTTGGATAATAGAACAGTTACTAAATTATACTGCCAGACTTTGTCTTTACTAATTTATACAGTAGACGGTTCACATATAGATTGCCTAAATTACTAATTACATATCAAACGTTTTTGGATAATAGAGATTTCTGATATTGAAGGTATTATATTCAATTTACGTGGAATTTGGTGGGAAATTGTACCGACACGGACTTCATGAAACAAAAAGGTTTTTTAATAATTATTAGCACTCTTCTTGTGACTCCTGAGAGAAGAGATCCGAGTGGAAAGGGTTAAATGAAGCGTTTTCGACAGTGATTAACAGCCCACGGATTGTTATGGAAGATAAAAATGATCTAAAAGCTGATTGTAAGAATCGTAAGTCGGATACAAATGTTTTTCCTTTTTTGATCATTTTTAATAAGAACACGACATAAAAATATCCTCGAATTCTTTTCACAGTCTTTACAATTTCATTTTTGACCCAAACACTTTTGTCGAAAATGCACAAAATCCGCTGTCTAATGATTCAGTCAGGTTTGTATCCAGCTGTACGCGAGCGGACACGTATGTAGTCTACGTATTGTTACAGTGCGAAGTTTTGTATGATTCCGTCGCTGAGACCTAGAAAGTCATTGTTCGAACCGTTTGTTAGAAGCCAAACTGAGAAGCCAAATGAAATTTCATGGAACATTAAGTAGTTACGGTTATAGCGGACGGAAATAGAAAATATACGTGTAAGGAGAGAAAAATTATATTGAAATTCAAGCTAAATGTATCCTGTTGACCTTACTTACTTTTTTCGGTAGAGAATACATACATGTAATGCCATAACGTCGCCTTTATCATCATCTCCCATATTAAGTGTGCTAGAAAGAAAAGGTATGCAGAAAGTGAAACCGATCGATTCGACTTCTAGCAGATTTCTTTTGTCTTCTCATTTTGTATTCTCATACCAATCGATGATTCGTTCGATAACGCATGTGAATTTGATTCATTCATTGAATTGAAGGGAAGAAAGAAAAATGTCTTGTTTAGTGTCATGTACATTGCAAGATCGATGTTGACGAAACAATTATGAATTTATCATTGATTTAGCTGTTCTAGGGAAGCCAGTCAACATATTTATACATATAGAATGAGTAATTAAGATCGATATTGTAATATAATCGTTTTGCGACAGCAAATCTGCCAATAAAAGAAGGATGTAACGTTATTTAAATTTCTGATAAAGATAGTTTCTCTCTTCTCTTTTCATATGTTTCGCAATTATGTGCATACCGGTGTTATGATTTTCAAAGCGAAGCTAATCGTTTAGAATTTTTCTCGGCTTGTAAAAAAATGAACGTGACATTGTTGAAAGAAAATTTCTGTCCTGGATAACGATTGCGAGAAAAAGAGTATTTCCCCCTGTAAATATTACTTACATATATATATAACGGACGTGTATAATAACATCGCTTTACGATATTTTTTTATATTGTTAAGTAACGAATGGAGTTTACGTGTTTTCCAACAATTGCGCAACAAGTTTTCCCTTCTAAAATGGTGTATTCCTTTTAGAATATCAAAAATGTGAAGTCCATTCCTTGCAACCTACAACACATAATTTATCCACTGTAATATAAACAAATATAAGTACGTCGATTCTGCTGTTTTAATTTATGTTATTAACTTCTACTTTCGAAAAGTAATTTAAAAGACAATTTCGTACCTTCTAATTTGCTTTATCATTAATCGTGTTATACAGCATCGTTCTTTTATGACTATAGTAATTTGGAAAACATTTTGTTAAACAAGTCTACCGTGTTTCGCTGTTAATATAATAATTATCGATAATTAATATTTATGATTAGTTTACATTCCCTACTATGAAAATTAGAAAATCTGAAACATTAATTCTGTCGGTTTCAACAATTGATTTACGAGTTCCGTTCGTACCCGTGAAATATGCAGTAGTTTACAAGTAAGTGGCTGACATATGACGTTGTATTCTACTAATCGAGGAACGAGATGAATGCTTTAAAAATATGTAAATATTGTATAGGTGCAGAGCTGCAGCTAATTGTTGAAAATGTAGTCACATCTTGTTTGGAACGAAGTTTTGCAAGCATCTTTAGAAATCTATTTCATTCAAAGACATATTTGAAATTGGACATATTTTAATTGTTTGCTTGCATGAAATGTCCATGTGGTGTACGAAAGAATTTTCTGATTAATTATACTGCATGGTTAATTACTGTGACAATTTATAATTCGTGATTTCAATATAATAAATTACTTTAACATCGCTTAACTAAACACGTTAAGAAACAATTAGTTACTATTAATCGAGTCAGTTTTTTCGTTACATTAAACGTTGAATTTTCTTTGCTCGGTTTGACGCTAACACCACGGGCTGTCATGACAAACAAAAAAGGTGTCTGCAATAGTATCTGTGATCTCATTACTTTGCAAAATTTTCATTGTTTTGGTGAACTCGCTGACCGTTAGTAATTAGACTGCAGAACTTTATGCATTCGTGGCCCACAATAATCTCGCATAAATTAACAAAATGCAAATTTTCAGATTTGATTCAATTTTCACGAGCTTTTGATATATTCAAAGTATTTACGAAGGAAATTCAATATTACTGAATGTCGCTCGGTTAATATATTTCTCTACAAAGATGTATATTTACCAAATTTCTGCAGTCTAGTAATAATACAATAATCCCAGATAGTGAAAACGAATTATATAGTCTATAGGACTGTACACAACGACGATCCGGGTAATATTTTAATGTACCCTAAGTGCGAATGTCATCGTGTGTAATCGATTGCAGAAAACGATTGAAGATATATTGTATTCGACGGAACTGTAAATGAATGAGGGTTATAACAAAAATATAATTTTATTAGTGTATCACAATTACTTCACACGAGTCTTGCCTTCATACGAGCATGAATATTTGCTTATGATTTCGATTTACAGAGTTATCCAAAATAGACTATAGGAAGTTTTTTTTCTGAAATAAAAAATATTGTCCGTGTCCATCCAATGTGAAATGGACTTGAAATATAATTACTGTTCTTCTGCATAAAAAATTAGTCAAAATTGTGTACCGGCAGTAATTATTTCGTAAACGGAATTAAATAAAATTCTATCGCTGCACTGTTTAAAAAGAAAGAAAGACGAGCTGATAACAAAATTGCGTCTGCCGCCTCTCAAATGGCCTACTTTTCTATTACAATAATCAATATCAGATATAATTTGTTAAGCCAGTATTTGTTAAGCATTTTTAGAACTCCAAAAAATGTGCACCTGTTCCCACAAAATATTTTATAAAAATAACAATGAGGGTGAAATTTCTATTGACGCTTCATCGATGTTTGTCATTTACATTTTCTGTGAACAATCACAGCGTCAGAAATGGTTTCGTTGATTCAGTTTTTTATTGAAAACGTCACGATTTCTCTACGACCGATCAAATGTCCATCGTCTGAATTATTTTCAGGAGAGTCGAGCATAAGTATCGTGAACCGAGCTTGTAACCTGTAACCCCAACATGAAATCTCACCCCTAGAGAGGGGTGGATGCCCCGCATAGGGAGGAGACACGCGAAATTAATTGTCCTTGTCTCGTCAGATGCGATTTTTCTCGTGACATTAACTTGTATTTTTCTGTCGGCGTAAATCGTAAATCCTGCCACGTGGCTATACCAAGACTTCCTATAGAAATGGGAAACCATTGTCGTCCATGAAACAGCATATCTTGCGTTGTCTTAACGAGTATGACGATTCTCTTTAGTGCTGTTTAGGTGCGGCTGCGACGGCTACCGACGTTGTGTATATACACATGAAAGTGTGATACTTGAATCTGTATGGCGTAGATGATCGCTTCGCGCGCGTAGGATAAATTGTACAGTACAATAATAGCGAGTGTATGACGACAGTAGACTAAGCCTCAGGGACATGTAAATATGTTAAGTTGTAAGACGATGTTGTATTAGTTTTTGCATTTGTGACTACACAACGTCCTCCTCCATTGTAAATACAATGTACTTTATCGTATATTTGGGCAATAAATGTTAGACAATCGTAAAGTTCAGTTTTCTATATAATATGTAAAAATGTATAAAAGAAGCAAGCTGCTTTATAAAAATATTCTTTGGGGTCGTCTATAATAACTAGACTTCGTATAATGCAATGATCTTTCATTTGTAATCACTCACAGAACCTTCAAGATTATAAACATTTCTGCTTTTAATGATAACGATTGAGAAATCTGCGGAAAGGTATCAATTTTCAGCAGTCATGATTTTGGTTATACCATTGTAATTGTAATACCATTGTGTGCTGATTCACCATGCTATTGGAAATATTCTAAATCTGATCGAGTTTGTAATGGAGCATCATGAAAAACTTTGTTTAAAAATCTTTTAAATTGTTCATTTTTCGATAATATTACCCTAACACTTTTTTATACAGAATAAAGAAAGGATTCGACATATGCGAAAAGAAATGTAAAAATATCGATTTAGAAAAACGTCGATGATCTTTACATGATCTTTACGCGCCCACCTACTATTATTTCACATTATGACCCTTTTAAAACCATTCATCTTTTTCCTTCACCACTTTTTCCTAACCAGAACGAAGAAATAGCTTGTTACAGTTCCATGAATCATTCTGTATAACAATGAAACGAACTTATTATAATCCATTCTTGTGGTTTAATGAAACACCCTGTATGTACGATAATTAATAATCACATATAATATGTNAAATGGTTTCGTTGATTCAGTTTTTTATTGAAAACGTCACGATTTCTCTACGACCGATCAAATGTCCATCGTCTGAATTATTTTCAGGAGAGTCGAGCATAAGTATCGTGAACCGAGCTTGTAACCTGTAACCCCAACATGAAATCTCACCCCTAGAGAGGGGTGGATGCCCCGCATAGGGAGGAGACACGCGAAATTAATTGTCCTTGTCTCGTCAGATGCGATTTTTCTCGTGACATTAACTTGTATTTTTCTGTCGGCGTAAATCGTAAATCCTGCCACGTGGCTATACCAAGACTTCCTATAGAAATGGGAAACCATTGTCGTCCATGAAACAGCATATCTTGCGTTGTCTTAACGAGTATGACGATTCTCTTTAGTGCTGTTTAGGTGCGGCTGCGACGGCTACCGACGTTGTGTATATACACATGAAAGTGTGATACTTGAATCTGTATGGCGTAGATGATCGCTTCGCGCGCGTAGGATAAATTGTACAGTACAATAATAGCGAGTGTATGACGACAGTAGACTAAGCCTCAGGGACATGTAAATATGTTAAGTTGTAAGACGATGTTGTATTAGTTTTTGCATTTGTGACTACACAACGTCCTCCTCCATTGTAAATACAATGTACTTTATCGTATATTTGGGCAATAAATGTTAGACAATCGTAAAGTTCAGTTTTCTATATAATATGTAAAAATGTATAAAAGAAGCAAGCTGCTTTATAAAAATATTCTTTGGGGTCGTCTATAATAACTAGACTTCGTATAATGCAATGATCTTTCATTTGTAATCACTCACAGAACCTTCAAGATTATAAACATTTCTGCTTTTAATGATAACGATTGAGAAATCTGCGGAAAGGTATCAATTTTCAGCAGTCATGATTTTGGTTATACCATTGTAATTGTAATACCATTGTGTGCTGATTCACCATGCTATTGGAAATATTCTAAATCTGATCGAGTTTGTAATGGAGCATCATGAAAAACTTTGTTTAAAAATCTTTTAAATTGTTCATTTTTCGATAATATTACCCTAACACTTTTTTATACAGAATAAAGAAAGGATTCGACATATGCGAAAAGAAATGTAAAAATATCGATTTAGAAAAACGTCGATGATCTTTACATGATCTTTACGCGCCCACCTACTATTATTTCACATTATGACCCTTTTAAAACCATTCATCTTTTTCCTTCACCACTTTTTCCTAACCAGAACGAAGAAATAGCTTGTTACAGTTCCATGAATCATTCTGTATAACAATGAAACGAACTTATTATAATCCATTCTTGTGGTTTAATGAAACACCCTGTATGTACGATAATTAATAATCACATATAATATGTTAAGTTTTAGTAAAATATCAAATGACCAGTCGTACATTTAGGTGGGACCAGGACAACGGCTTATTCTCAATAAGAAAGCGAGACTCTGGCAAAGCCTAGCATATTAAACTTTTTTTTTATATTATAACTAGCAACAAAACGCTATAGCTTACAAAATAAGGGACACTCAGATAACTGAACACTAGGAGTTGCCCAAGACACTCCGATAACTTGAACGCAGGGAACTGTCGAGCATGGATTGTGTGAGGAAAATGGTAAAAGTTAATTAGCTACCAATAACTTTTACCAAATAATAAAATTTCTTACAGCCGACACTGAGTCGATATTTGTTTCCCTACCTGTTGACTGGATTCGGCTCGAACCTGCAGCGGTCGATCATCGCTGGTTTAACGTTGACCTGCATAAACAAATATAGCTTCGTCTAATTAGAGCTGACTTTGGCACTGTGGAGCTCCTTTATGTAGAGAATCGATGTATTAGTATGTCGCAAATTACATTGGATCGCAATTAGCATCCAACTAAAGGAAAAGAATGATTTTATTCGATTGTAAACTGCATAATTTGATCGCGTTAAATGAATTAATATATGTCGTTAAAAATAGCTAGGATTTAAACAGTTTCTTTTGGTCCAAATGAATCCTATTGGTAGCACCGTCTGAGGCAAAGCATTGAAATTGATAAACGCGTTATTTTAAGTACATAGGTTCGAAAATTCCCATTGGAACACATTTAAAAACTAATTCGAAACAATCTCTCAAAATGCAATAATTTCTCTCCGAGTTGTTGGTGGAGATTTATTAATTTTTCCAATGCGATGTTGAATCTTCTAACTCTAAATGGATCCGTCATAAAGTGCGATCAGTGCTCCGAAATTCCTAGGATCGTAGTTGAAATCAAGTATACAGGTATGCTCGAGTCATGCTCATTGCACAGACTTTGAATCCGTGCGGACATTGCATGCAATGCTTCTTCTGTCTCTGGGTCTGAATTATCGACTCTGTAAGAGAATTCCGTGGTACGATAACGAACTCTACGTAAATGGAACGGTTAGCTAGTGAACTATATCCAACTGAAATAGAGTAAAGTGTGTGTGTGTGTGTGTGTGTGTATGAGGTGGTTAAATTTACAGCATTATCAGCTTTTAAAAATACATACATTATTGTCACATTATAACCCTAGTAATGAATATTTTAGAGAGTCATTCTATATGCTACAATATAAAATTAAAATAAAAATAGCATGAATTTTCAAATTTGTTTCCAAATTAAAATTTACGAGGCCAAAATGCAGGATTTATTTATTAAGATGAACTACCAATTTTTAGGTATTTCCAATGATCCGTGATGAAACTATTCAAGTCGTTTCCTTTAAAAAATTAAGGCAAGCCTGGCTTCAGTTAAATAGACTTCGCATCGCTTTCAGTTCAGGAATGTGGGTGTGATTAACGGAAACGATGATAAAGAAAATTGTTCGATACTTATATATTCATAATAAAAACTATTAAAACAATTTGTCAAATGTAACAATACAACAATAATACGGTCTGTCTTGATCGTATCTGAGTTTCTGAATTTAAAAAAAGTCATCTAGAGATAATGGTATAGTAAATTGAAGAATTCCACTGAGTTACAAAATTGTGAAATCGATCTTGGAAAGTCAAGATCATTGAACAATACTTAATTTCTGTACAAAACACTTCTTTCGCAGATTTTTGAAAAGATAAGCGATGATATTATTCTGACCGAATACACTCTCTATATAATATATCGCTTAAAACATACTCAATAATTTGTTCGTTCTAATCACAGCCATATTGAAAAAATTCGTATTTTCCTACTCCGTACCATTTTTTCGTTTTTAAAACATTTTGTTCGCCCGAACCTGCTTCCTTCTCACGTACCACTGTTCTTACCACGCCCTTTCTTCTTCCTCCGTTTCTTCCGGGGGGCGTAAATTTTCCTTTTTTCCACGAATTCAAACATATGACGGCAACCACGTAAATCAGCCACGTTCAAAATTGTCCTGCCATTATTGTCCTTAGCGTTAAAATCGACATTTTTCTCATTCAACAGGAACTTAACCATGTCCGAGTTACGACAGAAAGTAGCCAAGTACAAAACAGTTCTGCCCTCCTTGTCTTTGGCATTAACATCGGCCCCTTTTTCGTTTACCAGAAATTTAACCACCTCCATGTTACCAGAGCTAGCAGCCGAGTGCAAAACTGTCATGCCGCTGTTGTCTTTAGCCTTAAAATTAGCCTTCTTCTTATTTATCAGATATTTAACCACGCTCAAGTTGCCGTGCACAACGGCAGCCATGTGCAAAACTGTAATACCGTCGTTGTCTTTGGCGTTGACATCGACCCGTTTCTCGTTCACCAGAAATTTAACAATGTCCAAGTTACCGGAGGCAGCAGCCGCGTGTAAAACTGTCATGCCGATCGAATCTTTAGCATTAATGTCGGCCCTCCCGTTTGTCAGAAATTTCACTATCTCCAAGTTATCAGAGGACGCCGCCATGTGCAAGACCGTCATGCCGTTACTGTCTTTAGCATTCACATCGACCATTTTCTCATCCACCAGAAATTTCAGCATTTCTAAGTTACCAAAGGTAGCGGCTGTGTGCAAAATAGTCGTGTCATTCTTGTCTTTGGCATTAAAATCGGCCCCCTTATCTATCAGAAATTTAGCTATCGTCCAGTGAGTACAGTTGGCGGCCGTGTGCAAAGCTGTCATGCCGTTATAGTTTCTAGCTTCGAAATCAGCCCCTTTTTCGTTCACCAGAAATTTAACCATGTCCAAATTATCGGAGGTAACAGCCGCGTGCAAAACTGTCAAGCCATTACAGTCGACAGCATTAATATCGACTTCTTTCTCGTTCACCAGAAATCTGACTATCTCGAAGGCACCGCATACAGCGGCCATGTGCACAACTGTTACGCCATCGTCGTCTTTGGCATTGAAATCGACCCCTTTTTCATCGATCAGAAATTGAACTACTTCCAAGTTACCGCTGACAACAGCCGTGTGCAAAATTGTCTTGGAAGTCTTGTCTTTGACTTCAATATCGAACTTCTTCTCGTCGACCAGAAATTTAATTATGTCCAAGTTACCAAAGGTGACAGCCGAGTGTAGAACTGTCAAGCCATTATTGTCTGTAACATTTAAATCGGCCTTCTTTTCATCGATCAGAAATTTAACGACCTCCATGTTACCAGAAACAGCAGCCATATGCAAAACAGTTACGCCATCATCGTCCGTGACATTAAAATCGGCCCCTTTCTCGTTTATCAGAAACTTAACTACGTTCAAGTTACCGCTGATAGCAGCCGTGTGCAAAACCGTGGAGCCATCGATGTTTCTAGATTTAAAATCGACCACTTTCTCATCCACCAGAAATTTCACGGTCTCTAAATTATCGAAGGTCGCAGCCGTGTCCAAAACTGACAATGTGCAATTCTCTTTACCGTTGAAATCGACATTTTTCTCATTTATCAGAAATTTCACTACCTCCAAGTTACCGGAAACAGCAGCCATATGCAAAATCGTTATGCCATCGTTGTCTTTAGCATTGAAATCGGCCTCTTTCTCGTCTATCAGAAATTCAATTATCTCCAAATTACCGAATGCAGCAGCGGTGTGCAAAATTGTTCTGCCGTTGTCGTCGCGTGCATTAAAATCGACGTTTTTCTCATTGATCAGAAATTTAACTATATCCCACTGATGAGCATTGGCGGCCGTGTGCAGAACCGTCATGCCGTCAACGTTTCTAGCTCCAGCGTCGACCTTCTTTTCATCCACCAGGAATTTCACCGTCTCCAAGTTACCGAAGTTCGCAGCCGTGTGCAAAAATGCCATGGCGAAACTCTCTTTAGGATTAAAATCGGCCCCTATCTCGTTGATTAGAAATCTAATCAGCTCCATGTTATCAGAAACGGCAGCCATGTGCAAAATCGTTATGCCGTTATTGTCTTTGGCGTTGAAATCGACCTTTTTATCATTGATCAGAAATTTGACCATCTCCAATTCACCAGAACCAGCAGCCTCGTGCAAAATTGTTCTGCCATTGTTGTCGCGTGCATTAAAATCGGCCCCTTTCTCGTTTATCAGAAATTTAACTATGTCCCACTCATGAGCGCCAGCAGCCGTGTGCAAAACTGTCATGCTATCATGATCCGTAGCTTCAAAGTCGGCCCCTCTCTCGTTCACCAGAAATTTCACCATTTCCAAGTTACCAGAGGCAGCAGCAGCGTGCAGAATTGTCATGCCACTGTTGTCTGTAGCATTAAAATCGGCCTTTCCTTCGTTTAGCAGAAATCGAACTATCTCCAAGTTACCAGAAAGAGCAGCCAAGAGCAAAACTGTCATGCCGTCATTGTTTTTAATTTCAACATCGGCCAACGAAAGTTCATCTGTCTCCGTGCCGTCAGAGCTAGCAACCATGTCCAAATCTGCAATATCATCAGGATCATTGGCTTCAATATCGGCCTGGTTTTTATCCAGCAGCGATTTTACATTCTCCAAGTTTCCAGAGCTAGCAGCCGTGTTCAAATCTGTCATATCATCAGAATCATTGGCTTCAATATCGGCCTGTTTTTTATCCGGCAGCGATTTAACATTCTCTAAGTTTCCAGAGCTAGCAGCCGTGTTCAAATCTGTCATATCATCAGAATCATTGGCTTCAATATCGGCCTGTTTTTTATCCGGCAGCGATTTAACATTCTCTAAGTTTCCAGAGCTAGCAGCCGTGTTCAAATCTGTCATATCATCAGAATCATTGGCTTCAATGTCGACTTGTTTTTTATTCAGCAGCGATTTAACATTCTTCAAGTTTCCAGAGCTAGCAGCCGTGTTCAAATCTGTCATATCATCAGAATCATTGGCTTCAATATCGGCCTGTTTTTTATCCGGCAGCGATTTAACATTCTCTAAGTTTCCAGAGCTAGCAGCCGTGTTCAAATCTGTCATATCATCAGAATCATTGGCTTCAATATCGGCCTGTTTTTTATCCGGCAGCGATTTAACATTCTCTAAGTTTCCAGAGCTAGCAGCCGTGTTCAAATCTGTCATATCATCAGAATCATTGGCTTCAATATCGGCCTGTTTTTTATCCGGCAGCGATTTAACATTCTCTAAGTTTCCAGAGCTAGCAGCCGTGTTCAAATCTGTCATATCATCAGAATCATTGGCTTCAATATCGGCCTGTTTTTTATCCGGCAGCGATTTAACATTCTCTAAGTTTCCAGAGCTAGCAGCCGTGTTCAAATCTGTCATATCATCAGAATCATTGGCTTCAATATCGGCCTGTTTTTTATCCGGCAGCGATTTAACATTCTCTAAGTTTCCAGAGCTAGCAGCCGTGTTCAAATCTGTCATATCATCAGAATCATTGGCTTCAATATCGGCCTGTTTTTTATCCGGCAGCGATTTAACATTCTCTAAGTTTCCAGAGCTAGCAGCCGTGTTCAAATCTGTCATATCATCAGAATCATTGGCTTCAATATCGGCCTGTTTTTTATCCGGCAGCGATTTAACATTCTCTAAGTTTCCAGAGCTAGCAGCCGTGTTCAAATCTGTCATATCATCAGAATCATTGGCTTCAATATCGGCCTGTTTTTTATCCGGCAGCGATTTAACATTCTCTAAGTTTCCAGAGCTAGCAGCCGTGTTCAAATCTGTCATATCATCAGAATCATTGGCTTCAATATCGGCCTGTTTTTTATCCGGCAGCGATTTAACATTCTCTAAGTTTCCAGAGCTAGCAGCCGTGTTCAAATCTGTCATATCATCAGAATCATTGGCTTCAATATCGGCCTGTTTTTTATCCGGCAGCGATTTAACATTCTCTAAGTTTCCAGAGCTAGCAGCCGTGTTCAAATCTGTCATATCATCAGAATCATTGGCTTCAATATCGGCCTGTTTTTTATCCAGCAGCGATTTAACATTCTCTAAGTTTCCAGAGCTAGCAGCCGTGTTCAAATCTGTCATATCATCAGAATCATTGGCTTCAATGTCGACTTGTTTTTTATCCGGCAGCGATTTAACATTTTCCAAGTTTCCAGAGCTATCATCTATCATGGAATCCTCGTCTTTAGCATTAGAATGGGCCTCTTTCTCATCCGTCTTATATTCAACCATTTTCAAGTTGCTAGACAGGTACCTGAAAAAGATGGAAGAATGTAATTGAAGAAATAAGAAAATGCCGAAGAAAATTCCCATAGGGCAGAGAAATTTCGGGAATATTGCAGTAACTATGGAAAACTGAGGCACTGTCAAGAGAAATAGAGGATCCGAAATGCAACGGAATCAAAATTTGCGTACGAATGAATGCGTGCATGTACATGCGTGAATGCTAGAAAATTCTACGAGCAAGAGAGCGTGAGTGAGAAAGCATGAACAAGAGAAAGACGAACAGAGTGCAAGAAACGAATGCGTCGGTATTTATGTTGACAGCTTCAAATTTTTTGCATTCTTACATATCACTGTCGTGTAACTCGCTTTCGTTTGAATTTTGACGTTTGCCTTTTGTTGTTTATCGTTTCCCCCACATTGACGATGGATCGGTATCGAAGGAGAAGCCGAACTGTTAGTGTTACTTTAGATTTTTAAATTAAAAGCGTAATCCTTGAATTGTTCTACCGTCGGAAAGTAAATCAACTTGTATTAAACTTTTTTTTTTATTAGGATATTAGGTTTGTAGTTAATTATTTACATGATGTTCTATCTAAAGAAGTTTAAATGATATATTTTGCGTATATATTTTATATCATAATAGGCACTTTCTCACAAAATTTAGAGAATTGAGTGCGACAGAACGAGTACAAATTTATAATCGACGTGCAAACATTTCAAGAGAAGGTCTAAAAAAGATATTTCAAAAGATGAATATTATTAGAAAATTTAACTAGCACTAGAAGAAGGAGAGAGATAGAAATTTGTCAAGACAGACAAATAGTTAAGTTAAAGAAAATCCATTTCTTAGTGCCAGGGAATTGAAAAAAAAATTTGTTTGCCCGTTAGAATTACGCAAATAAAATCTCGTATAAATGAAGGTAATTTACATGACCGTATATCACGAAAAAGGCCATATTGTATTTCGAAAGTTGATGTTGCCAGTTTAAATGTTTAAGATTTACTCAGGAATATTATAAAAAGTCAATTTCATTCTAGGAAACAGTTATTTGAAGCAACGAATCGAAATTTAAAATGAAGTCAAGTAAAGGAAGGCAATATGTAAGAATTGTTTACATCAAGTCTTGCGACTCTAACCATGAAACATGAAGGTTGTTTTAAGAACGGTCGAATTGGAAATTTAGCAATAATTGAATGGAGACTGACTTGCTCAAAGTATATATTGAATTATTACAGGAAAATTTGTTTCCTTCGATGCATAGATTTGAATGTTCGTCTTTCGACAAGACAACGGCCTAAAGCACGCGTCAAGGGTTGCAAAAGAAATATTTGAAATCAACAATATAAATTTGCTTCTATGGTCTGAACTCGATCGAGCATTTGTGAGAAGAATTAAATTGTCGAATAACAGTAACTGAAAGATACACAAACTTAAAATTTATAGAAACATTGAAGAAAAAATGGAATGAATAAAGCACCACTGCGCTAAAAAAAATTAATTAAAAATGTGCCAAGTCGCCTGTTAGAAGTAATAAGAGCCAAAGGATATCAAATTTCATACTAAACAAAATTACAATAATGTAAGATGCGCGTTAAATTGCAATGTCAACATACTTTCCTTCTTCAGTTGTATTAAACATTTTGCTTTTTAACGTAATTTTATATATATTTTTATATTTTTATTATATATATATTTATTTATATATATTTATATATATATAATTTATAATATATATTATATATATATATATTTACATAATTTTATATTTATATTATTTTTGTTAAACTTCAATAAACACATCTATATAGTAAGTAAGTTCTTACACTTATGTCATTAACTTTATTTTTGGTCATTTAGAATAAATGAATACCGACGCGAGTGTACGAAAGAACTTCCTTTGAAGGAAGAATTTCCTTGCCGAATAAACATATTCTTTTAATTAATTTTTATTATATCGGAGACTCCGTTATTCCACCTCATCCCACAATATTTAACTTTTTAATACATCTATCAGTTTGTATATAAGAACAACACTTTGAAACGCGTTTAAGTAGTTATATTTTTTGTAGTTAACGAACGTTGGTTAAGAAATGTAGAAGTTTTAGGTTAGTTAGATTTAATTTTAAAGTCACAGCACTCTTCGTTCACGCATTTTTCGTCCGCTTTCGAATGAATCTCACAATCCGTTTGCCCCGCTCAATTTACTCCGAATAACATGTTTATCATTAATTCATTAATTTAATCATTTTTACATTAAACTATTATACATTATTATTCAAAAAGGTATTAATATTTATAGAAATCTTGAACACACAGATAAATATCTCTAATCAAATATCAAATAAATAACATATTTATTGAAATTCCAATTTCTAGAAAATTATTGTTGAAGGATTGATCAAATAATTTATCTGCCTTACGAAAACTATATATTTTACTTGCCTGTATAATATAATTTTCATAGCCATGTGTGTTTACACGTCGACAGTCTGCCCTGTACAACAAGAAGGACGAGCACACAGAAACATACAATGTAGCCGCCAGGCACGACAAATATATCGCACGAATGTCCGAACGCCATTCAAATCATAATACATATAAATCCAGTACAGAAGTAAATTAAGAGATGTCGCGATTACCACAGAAATTAACGTCCTGACAATTATCGCGATCGGAGATGTTGACACTTTATTGCTTTATTTATTTAATAAATAACGGTATTATCATAATTTTAAAATTATCATAATTATCAATGTACCGATATATCAATTTGGTAGATGACTGTAGATCACGAATTTTAATTTTATAAATAAATGTTCAACAAAACCTTTACCCCGATGCTCACTATGCTTTTATAAACTACATTTGATCCTAGTCGGGGGTAGAACTTCATACGGATGCAAGTGCCGAGGGCTACGGAATAATTCTAATACAAAAACATGAGAGAAGGCCGCAGGTAATTTTGTAAAACGGTCTGAAAACAACAGAACCGGAGCCACGATACCATCCATACGAACTTCAAGCATTAGAAATTGTTAAAGCTATCAGACATTTTAAATATTTTCTTTGTGGCCGAACATTTGAAGTAGTAACGGACTACAGTTTAACCCTTTGCACTCGAGTGGTGACTCCGAGGCACCATTAACCCTTAGCGGACAACGACTTTTTCGGCCGAGTCAGGTAGCAGGACGAGGCGATTTTTGCAAATACGCCACGCTTTTATACTGTCAAAATCAGTCCAATTATGGCGGCGGAGATGTTCGTACGTGGTCCAAATATCTAGTTTCCCGGAATTGTTGTATAACCAGTTCGCGATGGTACGAAAAAAGGCGATTGTTTTCCCTAATGAAGGGCCCTTTGTACTCGCACATGACTAGACGGATGGTTATATGTCAAGGTTACGTCAAGTTTTAAAAATGATCCTGCGTTTTAAAAAAGATCCCACTCAATTTCGTGCACTCGATTCTCGATGTTACCTTTTAATTATTGTTCAATTAAATATTGTTAATTAATTATTATTGTTATAATAAAATTAATAATTATTATTATTATTAGATATTATTGATTAATTATTATACGTTTAATTAAATATTGTTACCAATTAATGATTGTTAATTACTGTACTATTTTATACTAATATTTATACTAATTAATTACTATTGTACGTGTCGATGGTCACTACTATCTTTCCATTTTAGTCTTTGTGTAAATGAATCTTGCATTAAAATTTATATTTCATCGTACCATTTAAAATGTATTTTTTAACCCTTTCGCTACTACGGGCCACTATAGTGGCCCTCCATAAGATGTCACTGAGGTACTACGGGCCACTATAGTGGCCCGTAGTACCTCAGTGGCATCATACGAAAGGCCACTATAGTGGCCCGTAGTACCTCAGTGGCATCATACGAAAGGCCACTATAGTGGCCCGTAGTACCTCAGTGGCATCATACGAAAGGCCACTATAGTGGCCTTCCATAAGATGCATTATATTGCATAATGTTTTATTTCCTCTCATACTGTAAATTAAAGAGCGCATGCTAAGACGTTATAAATACCCTGGAATACCCTTTATTTATAAATACCCTTTGGAGAGAAATTTTTTCGTACGAAAACATTCAAGCAGCTTGGGTTCTCCGCCGCGGTACTCCCGCTGACGATCGGCGTCGCGTAACGTGCAGTGATGTCGCGGCGCTCCGTTCAGCGGAAGTACCGCGGTGGAGAACCCGCCCGTAGCGAAAGGGTTAAATGAACAACCGCCTAGATTCCTTTTTTCTTGCATGTTTCGTCAAGTCGAGGTGCTTTCCCGGGTTTATTGCCTGCAACGCTAGAACGAAATTGCGCACTCTGTCCTCATCGTACCAGTTCCGTAGTTCCGCCTTGCTTTGTTTTTGGTGCAGCGTGACTCGCGGGCGAAACAAGCCTGGCCCGGGATTGCCTTCAAGTGTGAACACATTTTGGACGGTGCCGGGCGGCCTGGCACGCCACGAGCACAGCAGCGCGCATAGTGTGAGCACTCCGATGTAAATCAAATGGAAGAATGTTTCAGCCTTGCTCGGCCTTGGAGCACGATCCGAGCCTAGCACGTAGACGTGCTTGAACATTATGCCGGCAGTGAACTGCGCAAACACCTCCTGCGTAAGATAGAGGGTGGAGTTAGGAGACCGTTCGCTCCAACAAGCTCCGTCACGGAACAAGGGTGCCTCGATGTAACGCCGTAATGTCGCTAACTGAGAAACATACACTCACTTAACCCTAGAAAGATAACCATATGACAACGTACGTAAAAGATAACCATACGCTTCAGAGGCGCATGCTTTTCTAAGGCGTCAATTTTATACTAACAATGGATATTTATTTAAGTTAATCTAGTCATTTTAAAGGTTTGGCAATATTGTAAAAATAAAATGCATTTATATTATAGTTTTTTATATTTTAAGTAATTTTAAACTTAAATCACTAGACCTCTATGAAAAATTAACAAAACTCAACAGTCTTTCGCAGGTGCCTCTGCGACGTAGGTTATCTTTCTCGGGTTAAGAAAATCGTGCAGCTAGGAATTCAGCCGATTTTCACTTGTAAGACGTGACAATTGTAGGAAATGACTAAAACACATATACATGTAGATATGTAGTTCAATATTTTATTTAATTATTCGATCTTTATTTAATATATAATAATAGCAGAACAAAACTTTTAATATTATTAGTAAATAAAATTTGTCGCTACGATGGTCAATAATTATGAAAACGAGACGCGAGGCTCGAATAATCACATCTCCTCCTCCCAAATTGTCCATTTTTGTGCGCAATCTGAGCGCGAATTAGGGAGAAATTACTGTATTTTTCATCGTATAATTATTATTATATATTATTATAATATATTATTATATTATATATTATTATAATATATTATTATATTATATATTGTTATAATATATTATTATATTATATATTATTATAATATATTATTACATTATATATTATTATAATATATATAATTATTATTATAATGCACTTCTTCGATTTGTTTGTAAAAGCTCAAGCTTCTAGTACACCACTTATAATGTTTTTCATTGACTATGAAAGTTTATATTATTTTTTATTTGTTTTATTATTTAAAAGGACTACAACCGTTAATGATGAGAAAATAGCAAAATATTCTCAAGATGATGATATTAATAACTAATGTCATCGCAACAATATATGTACATACATACTAATTGTGCGTATTCTAAAAGCACTTTGAAATATGAAAATGTTCGTTGGAAAGAACACGTCGGTGTTCAATATTTCTTTGAACAATATATATACATAAATAATTCTATGTATAACGAATAATATGAATGACTTTTCTTCAAAACAGAAACACAAAACTAAGCAGATACGTACGGACTTCAAGCTACAAAATTTTATATTTGGCATACTTTTATTAAACAATTATATTGTTATTTCAAAATGACTCGTTCAAAAATCCATTTGTAATTTTTTACACATCTTAATTATATCTATAACAAACGGAATTATTATAAATATCAAGAAGCCAGACATAATAAACTTATTACTGAAACGAGTTCGATCTAATAACGCATCAATCGATTTATGAAATTAAAATCGGCTTTTTATCTGAAGAAAGGAAAACGGACGATAGGCTGGATTTTTCTTCCATGAATCGTAAACAAGCAGCGGGTTTCGACCTGTTTCAAGGAAAAATTGTTATTGTATTCTTCGTGCCGGCTCGAGGTTATCCGCTACCCTAATTAACTCGGCGCAGCGATAATCCGTCGCGAGGATTTTGAAAATATAATACGGTATCTCGAACGGTAGACTTTAAATTACGAGTCATCCTATCGAAAGAGTGAGGCGAGGGGACCGTAACCGCGAGTTCCACATTCCTGAAGTCATTTGCTCGGCAGCATTGAAACACGAAGGTTGGGTCCACAATATTTTTGGTGACCTCTGGAACACTCGATGTTCGAAAAATTGTATTCTTGAGGTACTATATCGTTGAAATATTTAATCGGTACATCTGGTCGTTGGGATATTCGGTCATTTGAATATTTGATGATTTGACTATTCGTTTATTTGGCTATTTAACTATTCGGTTATTTGATTATTCGGTCATTCGGTTATTCAGTCATTTGGTTATTCGATCATTTGGTGATTCGGTCATTTAGTTATTCGGTCATTTGGTTATTCGATCATTTGGTGATTCGGTCATTTAGTTATTCGGTCATTTGGTTATTCGATCATTTGGTGATTCGGTCATTTAGTTATTCGGTCATTTGGTTATTCGATCATTTGGTGATTCGGTCATTTAGTTATTCGGTCATTGGAGTATTCGGTCATTGGAATATTTAAATTGCTGGAATATTTAAATTGTTAGAATATTTAAATTGCGAGCCTGTTCGGTCGTCGAGAATTGAACCGAACCAAAGTTCGGATTTTCTTGCTATTAAATTTAATAGAATTTCTTGCTATTGTTACAGATCTGGTGACTACGTGGATAGACTATGCGAATGGTTGCGATCAAGTTGCAACGGGTCTGGTTTCGTCAAGGAGCAAAGGATGTAAGTATAATCTTCGTCAGTATATATGTAAACTATACGGAATAGTTTGCAGAAATTCTTTAATAAAATAACCACATGTCAACCTCTCTACTTCGCAAATGAGGATTTAATATTTATAAAATAATATTTTGTTATCGGTTATGCAATTATCTCTTCTGAATTTTCTGCTACAAACTTCGCCACGATGATTCGACGAGTTGGAAAGTCTCGAATTTTACCTGATAGTATCTATTGGGTTGTTACAAATGTAACTTCGTTTGCTTACAAAAACTGAGCTGGAAAGTCTCGAATTTTACCTGATAGTATCTATTGGGTTGTTACAAATGTAACTTCGTTTGCTTACAAAAACTGAGCTGGAAAGTCTCGAATTTTACCTGATAGTATCTATTGGGTTGTTACAAATGTAACTTCGTTTATTTACAAAAAAAACCTAAATAACTGTTGCAACATCTCAATATCACAGACTTAGAATCCGCACAGACATTGCATTTGATGCTTCTTTTGCAATGCTACCACTGCAAAAGCTTATAAAATTAACGTTGTAATTAGTAGAAATAATTGCTCAATTGTCCATAAAAATAATTACACTTTATTTCGTATTTCTGAAGTACACGTTTCATAAATACTATTTCTACCATTCAAATGTTATTATTGCCTTCAAATAATATTCAGCAGTCGTAGTAGAAATGAAATATACAAGATATTCGCTTCTTGCTAACGTGCCTGTTTTTCGTGAACTATCGGTAACGCTGAATGCGACACAAAATGCTAAGGGGACTCTAGACACCTCCAAAAAATTGAAAAGCCCGGAAGATCCAATGCCTGTACAGATTCTGAGTCTGTGGTCTGTGATAACATGCAATGTCTTTACGGATCAGTATACGAGTCGTTTATTTTGAAAGTGGTATAAGTCACTTTCTTTTTTTTTTTTTTAATGAAAAGATACCGTTCCATTGTAATTAGTGTTACCATTAACTCGATTTTTTTGAAAAAGTGACTTATGCCACTTTCAAAATAAACGGCTCATATCTCTGGAACACCTGGAAGAACACATGATCTTCGGTCGATAAAGTGCCATCCACAACTTTGTTGCGGAAATCTCGCTTGTAGAATTGAGATCTTTGGAGGCATCGTTGGCAATATGTATAATTTTATGGACAAAAGATAACTCCGTTCGACATTACCCACAGTTCAAAAGGTTAGTTTTGTTAGTAGGAATCCGGTATTTTCTATACTTGATTCTTGCTACACGTGTGACAATCGCGTGTTCGTCCACGAACAGTTTGCGAACACTGTTGACAAGCAACGCTTTGACGAGAAGTACGGTCACATTTCATAAGCACTGTGACAAAAAAACAGCTACAAACATTTAACTGGAATGTGCTATGTTGACTTCGCGAGGAATTCAATTTATTTTTATTAACACTAGCTTCACGGAACACTGTGAAAGCAGCTGTTTTATATTGTTTTATAAAACTAACAAGTATATGTTTATTCACATTTCTGTAGCGATTTTTATTACAATAAATATTATATACGATCAATGAAACATATTGATTGAATAAATTCCTTATAAAGATATCTTCATAATTTCGATAACTATATATTAAATAATTTATAACGTGTCAAAATGACGTGTCCTGTAAACAGATTGTTAAAAATCATAATTTACATCTTTTTAACACCGTTGTTGGCGAGATTTGTGACACTTAAGTGAATAACTGATTGCATGAACATTTTTTCACGTTTTTTCTTACAATAAAATACGTTTAAATTTACTTCGATTCGAGAGCCAGCATGTCAATTCTCGCGTATGGGACATCTCTTTCTTCCAAAAACTGTTTCGAGTACGGTTCGACAAAGTAAAAGAATAAACACAACGAGTGGAAACGAGATAAATGTTATTTATTTAATTATTCCTACATGCCTAGATTGTCCGTGTGCTATTCCTGCGCCTATACGTGTTACTGCTACGCCAATGCTAAGGTTCGACGGAGATTTCTCGGACTAACAAATCATAATGCAATAACGTTACATTTTTAACTTTAACGTATTAAAACTGAATTGTTTTTAGCACAATGCTGACAGTTTTCTGATGAAAATAAGACCAAGCATGATATAGTTTTGACAGATATTTCTGATTAATTGAATAAATATGGTCTAAACCATGTCATATTTAGTCTTATTTTAATTGGAAGAATCTCACCAACATGTTAAACAAAATTTCATGTCTAAAAAATTAGAAATAAAAAAGTTAAGACATCGTTTTTATTCTAGCATTATTGTGTATTTGTATTAATGTACACCGATATGCTGGTCTCTCTCTCTCTCTCTCTCTTTCTCTTTCTCTTTCTTTCTTTCTTTTGCTCGCTCTCTCTCACGCTCATTCTTTCGCTCTCTCTCTCTCTTTCTCTTTCTCTTTCTCTCTCTCTCTCTCTTTCTCTTTCTCTTTCTCTCTCTCTCTCTCTTTCTCTTTCTCTTTCTTTCTTTCTTTTGCTCGCTCTCTCTCACGCTCATTCTTTCGCTCTCTCTCTCTCTCTCTCTTTCTCTTTCTCTTTCTTTCTTTCTTTTGCTCGCTCTCTCTCACGCTCATTCTTTCGCTCTCTCTCTCTCTCTCTCTTTCTCTTTCTCTTTCTTTCTTTCTTTCGCTCTCTCTCTCTCTCTCTCTCTTTCTTTTGCTCGCTCTCTCTCACGCTCATTCTTTCGCTCTCTCTCTCTCTCTCTCTTTCTTTCTTTTGCTCGCTCTCTCTCACGCTCATTCTTTCGCTCGCTCTCTCTGTCTCGCTCTTTGCTCGCCCTCTCTCTCTCTCGCGCACGCGCTCTTTCTTTCGCTCGCTCTCTCTAGCACTCTTTCTTTCGCTTGCTCTCTCTCGCTCTCTCTCACGAGATGCCGACAACTGCAGAGGCGTGTGGCTCGAAAAATCGTGACTGAGTTGCCTCGGTTATCCATTTTCGTTTCCGAGCTGCGAGACTTCTAGGGAGAATTAAGAGAATTCACTGCAGTACGTCGAGCAGCGATAGTTAAGACTTATTTAAAGAAACACCGTAGCCAGCAACAGATGAGCGTACAATAAAGAAATTTTCATTTTCAATAATTACCGTCCTATCTTTATAATTGTAGTATCAATGTATGGTTGAGATTATTCTTGCATTAATTAACAAGTTAGGGTGAGTCACATAACATGCACGCCTGAAATAACTTTCAAATTATGCATTTTTACGAAAAAATTGTTAAATACGTGATATCGAAGGTGAGTAAAGCTTCATATATCAGAAAAGTTTCTACATTTCCAGATCAATTAAATTCGTGTTATTTGAGTTGTTTAAGCTACATGAATCACCTTCTATAATAGTCTTGTCGATAATTTAGTCCGATTTCCATCGTATTTAGATCCCTTTAAGTTACTGAATTCCAAATTTTCTTTCACGCGTGTTTAGCTTCTTGTTAAGGCGAGGCCTCGTCGAGGCATTGTGGCAGTGAAGAGTGGGACTGGTTCGTGTACACTTAACCGTACAGATTTTCCGTAAATTTAACCGTGCACCACTGTGCATTCCCTACAAAGCTTTCTTGACTCTTCCTAGCTCCCGATAGCAAACATACTCGCATCAATCAATTGAGAGTTTTCCAAAGCGTGTCTGTTCCTGGAGAGCATGAGGCATATACGTGTGGGTCTGCCAAATTTCGATCGATGCGATCATGCCTAAAGGAAATCCACGTCGCGCGTCACTACGAAATTTTCCAGCCAACCAACGTGCTTGCGATTGAGTAACAAATAACCATTGTACAATCTCTTCGTTGAAATTAGTCGCAGTACGAATATTTTTTTTATACTGACGGTGTATTGGAAACGCGAAACCTACGTACAAACCTGAATTCAACTAGTGTCGATAACGTCGGATATGACGTTAAAACAGTTGACGGGTTCTAAGGATCTCTCGAGACCTGTGCGCATACATAAAAAGTCCTATAATCTGAGATGCTGTGGAGAATGTTCCTGAATGCAATCGCAACGTGATAAGAGATATATATGTACTTGCAACGGTTTCGCCTATAAACTTGAAAATAACAAGACGTTAGCGACACTTTTTACTGCGTAAGATGTAATGCTGTTATTTCATTAATAAAGTACACGCGTGCTGTGATCATAATTGGATAGTTGTTTGTTAACTGCACACATGGCACGGATCTTGGATAAAAAGAGAAATAAAGGGTCAAAGCTGGTACACTTTATAGACGCTGTTTTCAATTAACTTTACTATACACCCCCGTATGATGTTATAATCTGTTACGTAAACGTTTAATAAATTGGATTTTTTAAATTGCTGACACAATTTAATCCGTAATATTGATTGAAACCTTAATATAATGTCCAAATCGTTGCTAAGAAGATATACGCGATTGTATCCCGACACAGGATTTCGATGTCTCGAACACTTCAGTAATATATTGTGCGACGTACTGTGAATTATTTTCAATTAGATCGTAGATCTATGTATCAGATCGTTTATCATCGAAGATTAAAATCTCCATTATGAAACAATAGTCTTTCATTCGTGACACTATCGTTATCCACAATAGAAATCTTTTGGGCTGTTTGTATTATATTCTCTCACCAAACCCTTGTTCCGATATTTAACTCTTTAATATTAGTATTACAACTTCGAATTGCATTCTTTCGTTGAATCGCTCGAATCTGTTTCCATAACTTTATATTCTGATAAATGCAGCTCAATTAATGCATACACGTAAATTTGTTTAAATGACCCGCGACGTTTGTCCGTGCAGCAGCAGAAATAGGCACGGATTTTCTGTGCATTTTTATCGATCAGACTGGGTGCAGATTCTTTCGGCAACTTGTTCTAGAATTATTCTAGAATGTGCGAAATTTATGAATATGTTTCACATGCATTTTAACCCCTAAATCGTAGTATTTTTGTTGTAAGATGTAAAATTGCCATTTCCTTGCGATTGTGTAAACACGTCGTCCACAGTTAAGAGGTTAATGAGTCAACCCATTGAAAGGATAACTTGAAATAGCTTCTATCTAGTCCAGAGAGTCTACATTCTACAAGGTAAGTGCAGAGCGTAGTTCAAATGTTTTAATAACGGTAAGGAAGCATTCGCCGCATAGTAGTAATCTCGTGCTAGATAGTAGTGATTATATGATTTATATACGAGAGAGTCTTTAATTTCTTTAATTCCTCACCCCTTGAATTTTTGAAAAAAAAATATATATGTACATATAGTGCATATAGTGAATATTTAATTATAATTGTTTTTTTTTCAATGTCTGATTACTTTCGTTAATTATGTAGCTCTCCTAAATACAAATGAAATCTTATTAACAAAAATGTGATTAGGTGAGAAAATACGATAGACACTTTAAGTCATTAATCTTTGCGAATTACGTTGCCCGAAATAACACCAAACCATTCATGATTGAAAATAGACAGTAAAATTAAGTTGGGATTAGTATAATATCCTTATTCAGAGATGTCTGTCAGTTGATTCTTCATAATCGCTGATCGTTCCTTCATTATACTTTATTCGCGTTTTATCTCCAGTAACTCTGGTTAATCCTTGGTTTAGCAGAGATCTCAGATTTTCGTAATAAAATCCGACAAATTAAATGATTGCCTTTTAAATGACAGACTCTATTAATCGTTATATTTGACCATACAAAGAGAGTCGTATAACTTGCACATCTCGTATGATAATGAAATTACTATCTTTTCAAATGCTGCAATTAATGGCATATCAACTTTTCTTGCAACCTCGAAATTTTAGATTCTAATTTATTAAAACTTATTTTAAATATTTAAAAATTTATTTTCGATAATTTACATTTATAGTATTAACGGTAGACAGTATTTATGTCAGGGATGGGCACTATTGAAATAATGTTATTTGTCCATCAATATATTCGACAAAAAGATTATTTTTAAATAATTTATTTTCCAAATAATTTTATTATTTAATGTAGCGATGCAAAATAACAAATAACAATTTGTTGTAACAATTATATTCATTATTGTTAGTTTTAACATTATCATATTATTACTTTATTGTCATATTTGGTTTGATTTACTTTTAGGTATGCATTTTGTCTATTAGAAATGAAAAGAAAAATTGAAATACTTCAATCACGCAAATGAAAATTTTGTGAGTCGTTTCCCGAAACAATAATGACAGTGATAATGAATAGTGATAATGAATCTAATTTTCGGTCTGACATAGAAGGCGAACATAATGCACCCAATAAAAATTTAATAAATTTATATAAATATGTTAAAAGACCACACATCGGTGCAGAAATTATTTATACGTTATAACACCCCTCTTCCATCGTCAGGTTTAATTGAACGACTCTTTTCATTTGCTACATTTGAATATCGTGTTGTATTGATATACACAATAATCATGTGTAATAAATATGCTTATCATGTAAAAAAAAATATATGTTAACGTATATATTATTTGTTATTTTGCATTGCTATTTGAAATAACGAAATTATTTGCAAATAAATTATTTCCCAAATAATATTTCAGAATTTATTTCTATATATGCTTATTTGAAATAAACTTATTTGTTACCTTATTTGAGGTAAGTATTTGTCATTTTTATTTATTATCTTTATTTCAAATAAAAAGTGCCCATCTCTGATTTATGTACCATAAGCAACATAGTAGTGGTCTGACTGTGTCAACAAAAATTGGTACAAAGTTCCTGTAATATAAAACTTCGCTAAAGAATTCATGCATACATATGCAACAGTTGTGCTGTTTCTTTCACTATAGCATGGTGCTATAAGCATGGAAATGCGTATGAGCTATGCTTATGGTCATTAGCAGTAAAAAAACTCGCTATGTATATATAAACGCGGCTATTCTCTCCTCGACTGTCATTTGCACAATCTAAAAATGTTGCGGTTTCAAACACAGAGAAAACGAAACTGTTCTGTTCAAAATATTTCAATGTTTCGACAGTCTACGAAAAAATTATGATGTTGAGTAATTTTAGATGATTTTTATTACATGTAAAAGTTTTTCTCCCTGCTTACGTTATCTCGTTGTTTCTAACAAAAGCTCTTTTACAGTCTCACTGTGTATTGTCGGCGTTATATTTTCTCAAAAAAAGTTTTTCAAAATTCTCTACTTTCGTCATTTATTTTGAGTTTCGTAAGAGCAAGAATTCTGCGGATATTCGTGTGATTTCTTTATAAGCTGAAAATTGCATTTGTACATAAAAAAATTCGTTAAGAAAAGTGTATCGAAGCAACTGGATCACATTTTGATTAAATGATCACCTTTCAAAAAAAAATCCTCCCTACGTTTTTACTATTCGTTCAAAAATCCCACCTTTCATATTATTTCAAGGCCTATAATATTGTTATTAAACGAAGTGCTTCGATAGATCCCCCTGTATACCGAGAATCCAACAAGAATCTCGGAAAGATTCGAACCATTTGGTACAATTTCAAAAACGTTGCATTTCAAAAGATGTCCGTACATTATCGTCGTTCGCTGTATGAAAAATCACACGGAACTGCTGCATCCCATAGAGAAAAATTTAGGAGCGCGGAGAGGGTTGAATCGTTCGGAGCTGCTGCTGCTGCTGCTTTAGTTTGTCGATTGGCCTGGAAAATCGGTGCCGTATATTTTTACGAAAAACCGATCGTATCCCGATCGAACGATCCTCGATTTCGCATTCGCGCGTCGTGACTCCGGTATTCTTTAGTAAACAAACAGCTTCGACTGCGAGCCACCGCGCGACGATACGGTTCCGTCTGCGTAGGCTGGTTCGAGCTTAATACCCTTGGACAGCGAAAAACGGAGGCTCCGGGGTCTTGGGGACTCGGCAACGGAAGGAAACCGTGAAAAGGCGTCGTTCGCTTAAGGAAGATTATCGAGAGCTGTCTTCGTAGCTCATCCAGCGATGAAAAGTCGATCGGTCGAGAGGAGAGGATCAACACCTCTTTTCGAAATGTACCGGCCCATCCCTAGGCGGCGAAGTTCGACGAGCGCTTGCGCTCCAACGCTAGCTATAAGAGTCCGATCAGCACTCGTAGGGACTTCAGTCCGCCCCGTGGTACCGGTGTTGCGTTCGTCGTCGTACCCCTTTGCCGTCGCGCCGTTTCTTCCTAAACGGTGAACACTTTTGTGAACGATACGTAGCCGCTATGTTGTTTATCGCGTTTCAGTGACAAAACACGGACGACAGCCCGAGAAACGGTGGCAGAAAGAGTGACACGGTGAAGTGCTGCGAGGGACAGAGAAACCGGACCAGAAACGGTGAGAGAGACAGATAGAGACAGAGAGAGATATAGATAGATAGATAGATAGAGAGAGATAGAGAGAGAGAGAGAGAGAGAGAGACTACCGCAAAGAATAGGAGCAGCTCTTTTCCCCGTTTCTCCTCGAAAGATAGGACAGCGTCCTCAACGTCAGCAACAACATCGGCATCCTGTACAATCAGTGTACGTTCACATTAAAAAAAAAAGAAACATTCATATTTCACAAAGTTAGTAGCCACTCGTTCTCCCCTTCTTTCCTCGCGCAGTGGTTGCGAGCAAGGTTTTTGAACTTCCCCGAATAACACGATTTTCTCGGCGGTTCGAACCGTCGCCTCGCAACATGTAATCCGCGAAGATCGAAAATAGTAAACCGTTCCCGTACGCATTTTACCGCTTCGCGTTAGAAAGGACTCAATTAGGGATGACAATGATCGAATCCGTGTACCAGAGGTTCCACTTTGTGAACGGGAATCACCGAAAGGTTCCCCTGTGTTTCCTCCGATTTATTTTCGCTCGTCCCGCGGAATCGATCGTCGGCTTTCCCATTGATCGCGTGTTCGATTGGAAATTGCAACGTAACTTTCCACTTAGCCTATCGTTTGTCACGGCTCCCGGTGGTAATGGCTAATTAATTTGGCCAGCGCTTCTTAACCGCGCGCGGCGTGTGCAGCTCCCGGATACGATTTCTCCGAATTAATCTTCGTGATCTTTTGCAACGGAGTTCAATTAACGCGCGGTTAACAGCTACGGGAAATACCGTGCAATCATATCGCGTCTATTCATTAGAACAGGAACTTCTTCGGCAGGGAATTAGCTCGCGGACGTAGCTTCATTACAGTTGAATAAAGCTTGTTGCATTATAATGGAAACGCCAGAAAACCGCACGCCTCGAACATTAGTTCGGGTTATTTGATAGGGTATATAAAACGGAGTACTCGGATGATTAATGGCTTTAATGTTATTAGAATCCCGGCTACCACGTTTCGCTATTTTCCATTTGGCGCGGTGCGTTTCTATCGAAGCAAATTAACGAAGTAGTTGCTTAAAGTAGATGTTCACTGCCACGGACATTGCTACCAGGTTTCTCTATAAGTATGTATTTCGATAATCAGCGTTTCTCTTTCGCTCATTGCCAACTGAATTACTTTAAACTGCTTCTAAATTACTTATTAAACATTTGCACTCTTCGCATAGAAATGTAACTAATTGATTGTAAACGTACGATTGAATCGACCTATTGCATTTTATTTATGCGGCAGCAAGCCTTTGCGATCAAATTATGTAAAAGTTTATCGGAAAATCGTTGCCGGCTTCAACTGTAATTTATTTTAAACTATGCAGGAAATGTGGAACTCCCCGAAAGAATTCGAATGAATGAAAATTCGGGAAGGAGTTACAGTTACTGCAAAATCCTTTATGCCGTCCTTTAAAACTTCATTAGGTGCGAAGGAGGATTTAGCATATTTCAAGTTCGTCGACTAAACTGAATATTGATTTTTAAATGATACCACAGACGTTGAGCGAGCCTAATAATGTCTTCCCGATGTGTATAATATTTGACTTTTTTAAAATATGTAATAACGTAGGAAATTTGATCTTTTATAAAAAACACTATCAGCATTTATTGGTATTTAGTCAGATGCAATCGGTCATTGCAGTTTGCGAAAATGTCCATCGATCGACAATGGGAGCTTCAAAGTTTTCTTAAATTAACGAAAATATTAGCGCTCCTTTTCGTTACGACAGTTGATAAAATTTAATTATTTTATTCAAATATCTCCTTCTACGTTATTATAGTACGGCGGTATTTTGCATATTTGAATGATCGAACATCGAAGTATTTCGATATTTTATTATGAAAAAAATGTTTAATAGTCAGAAATCGTAAATTGTAAATTATTTCGTCAGAATATTTTTTATTAGTTTCATTATTTCCATTACTCAATTTTAATAATATACGCGGCTATCTCGCACGTTTTAATTGACTGATAAATCATGCATAATTGTTCCTTGTAGGCCACGCGTTTAATCAATTCCCGATTTCCAACTATGGAGTTCTATCAGTTTCAATTTCATACTTTCCACGAAAACGAACATTTATATTGTGAATTTTATGCTCAGGTTTTCATCGAAATATCCTGCCGAAATACGACGTAACTAAATAGTTTGTAATACACCGAGGCCTCGATATAATAAACTAATTATGGTGTTCGTTAATGCCGAAAGTTTATATTATATAATAAATTGGATCTCCCGGATGCGTAATACTTTATGTACATGTTAACAAAAATTTTAAAACTGATCGGTTCACCCAGTTTTATTCATGTAAACACGTACATATATAACGTAATTAAAATTTCCCATTTCATTTCGGTGCTCCGGTTATGAGTTCAGTAATTATTTGTCTAGTCTTGGAGAAAAAAAATGTCGATTTCGCTTTCTCCGCTTAATTGGAAAACGTTCCCTGCGGATGGGAAATTGATTAAGCAAAGCTTCATTGCCACCTCAAAGTCCTATAAATTACGTAATTGTTTTCTAAATGCGGTGCGATCAGGTTCGCCAATTGTTTTCTGATAGCAATGGATCGTAAGCCAGTATTCACTTCTAATTAATTATAAATTTCGTAACAGCTCGGAATCGAAATTTGATTATACACTCCGCGAACTTTGACGTAAGTGAACGATCAGTAGTTTCGAACTATCGATTCGGCCGGATTCATCTCGAACTTTCCGAATAAAGGATGAACATCCATCCATCGGCATGTCAAATGCTACTGTTATACGGTCGTAAAATCTAACAGGCAACGCCCGGAAATCATATTGAAGTTCATGAGGACGTTCACGAGTGATCAGCATTTCCAAATCCAATATATGTATTATCTCGCGAACATTCCGTTCACGATCTTTCATTGAAGTAGTAGAGGATCTTACAGTTCGGATCGCTTTCAGTTTTTGTGCTCTATCTTTTGGGATAGTTGTGTCTCAAAAATCGAATTGAAATGAAGTAATTTGTAGTCCATAGAGAGCAGTGATTCTATTTGAGATGAAGATAACAGATAAAAAAAACAACTTGCCTCGAATAAGATATCAAATAAGTTTATTTGAAATAAGCAAACATATATATAGTATATAATATAGTAATAAATACTGTAACATTATTTGAGAAATAATTTATTCGCAAATAATTTCGTTATTTCAAATCCACACAGCTTATAATAATTATTATTATTATATTATATTAATAATATTAATTATAATATACTAATAATA